AAAATGTACTTTATTATTAAAAGTAAAAGTACTGAGTAAAAATGAGCGATTAGATTTTCCAAAATGACATTTATTGGAAGGTGAAAAAAAATCAAAATATATTTTATATTCCAAAAAATATTATTTTTTCTAAAGGTGTGCAGCTGTGATGTATTGTGTACAATATGGTGTCAGAATGGTAAAATATTTATACTTCTCATCCAAGTACAATTAAATTCACTCTATCCAGGATTCATCAGGATATGTTTTTAACAACAATGAGCTGAAATTAAATAAAGTAACAACGTTCTACTTCTTACCTTATTTATGATTGTAAGAAGGAAAAAGCAGGCTGAAAAATAGTTACTTAAGTAAAAAAAAATTCTACTAAAGTACAGTACCAAAGTATTTGTACTTAGTTACAGTACAACTGTTACAGAATCACCTTTATTGTCAATATAATTTACATGATGATGAATTTGGATTTGCTACTTCAAAGTACTTTGTCTGTTTTTGACTGATTTTTAGACTGGTTTAGACTGGTTTAGACTGATTTAGACTGGTTTAGACTGATTTAGACTGGTTTAGACTGTTTTGGACTGGTTTAAGCTGGTTTAGACTGGTTTAGAAGGATTTAAACTGGTTTAGACTGGTTTAGACTGATTAAGACTGGTTTAGACTGATTTTTAGACTGGTTTAGACTTATTTTTAGACTGGTTTAGACTGGTTTAGACTGGTTTAGACTGGTTTAGAAGGATTTAAACTGGTTTAGACTGGTTTAAGCTGGTTTAGACTGGTTTAGATTGGTTTTTAAACTGGTTTAGACTGGTTTAGGCTGGTTTAGACTGGTTTTTAGACTGGTTTAGACTGGTTTAAACTGGTTTAGACTGAGTAAAATTAAAAAATAGACACAATAAATTAATATAGACAAGTTAAATATAATAAAACCAAACGTACATTAAAGAGTAAAATAAATGTTCCAGATGTTTCTGACCCCTCCCCCTCTTGTCTCTCAGTGCCATGGCCACCTACCCCCCCACCTGCTCCAACACCAACACGTCCCAGGGGATGAACATGGCCAACAGCATCGCCAACCTGCGGCTCAAAGCCAAGGAGTACAGCCTGAACCAGGTGCCCACGGTCAACTGAGGGGGGACAGGATGAGGAGGGACAGGGGGACACCGTCTCTGAGAGGACATCCTGGACCTGTTCTGTTTTCTGGACCATGGGTTTCCTCCGCAGCGTCTCTGGACTCGCTCTGACCTCCAGACCGACTGGAGCTTTGGGACTGAAGCGATCGTCCAATCAGGGACACGGACTCACTTCCTGTCTTTCCTCTGGAACCGTGTGGACAAAGTTCTGCACCCAAAGACCCAAAGTTGGACGGACTCCACCAAAACCTGGACCAGCAGAGACTTCCTGACATTTACTCCGTTCTAGTTTTCCTTCATGTTATACCACTGAGGAGCTGATTTCATCTTATTTAGTCCAATATAAACAGAACTGATGTGGTTCTTGTTCTGGTTCTGGTTCCAGAACCACTCAGTCCGGTTCTGTCTTTGTATCAGACTCTTATACTGAAATAAAAACGTGTTTCAAGCAACAAAACCTTCAAAACAAATCTTCCCTTTTGTCCTGAAAGCGTTCCTGCCTGGAGCTTTAGGTTTTGATTTCCAGCTTGAAGCAGAGAGAAGTTAAAGTTTATAGTCGGGCCCATTTGGAAAGCAAACGGGTCGTGCAGCTCGGCCCATAAAGAGAGATTTACAAGCAGAGAACAGACGAAACCTCAAACTCACTTTTTCCCTCTGATTACTAAAACCTGCAGCTTTCATCTGACAGAGAGCAGATTTACGATCAGGGAAGTCCTCTGCTCCACACACGGGCCCCCCGGGCCTCGTTAGTCCACCAGGTTCTGCCCCGGCTCTGACAGAACCTTCAGAGAGGACGACACCAGAACCATCCCAGAGCTTTGCTTTCATTTCAAGTGTTTTTAGTTCAGAACTGGATGTTTTTCTCTTTTCTGTTTGACAGAAAAGTTCTGGAGCTGCGGCTCGTTAAGGTCCGTTCTGCTTTAATTAGGTCATAAAACAGATCAGGTTCCCTTCAGAGCTGAGGCTTTTCTGCTGAGTCATCGGACACTTTTCTGCTGAGTCATCCTAACAGTCTGATGTCCAGAGTTTAGACTGATTTAAACTGCTTTAGACAGATTTAGACTGGTTTAGACTTAGTTTAGAGTGGTCTAGAATGGTTTAGACTGTTTTAGACTGATTTAGACCGATTTAGACTGGTTTAGACTGATTTAGACAGATTTAGACTAGTTTAGACTGATTTAGACTGTTTAGGCTGATTTTAGACAGAGTTTAGACTGGTTTAGACTGATTTAAACTGATTTAGACTTAGTTTAGAGTGGTCTGGAATGATTTAGACTGGTTTAGACTGATTTAGACTGGTTTAGACTGATTTTAGACTGATTTTAGACAGAGTTTAGACTGGTTTAGACTGATTTAAACTGATTTAGACTTAGTTTAGAGTGGTCTGGAATGATTTAGACTGGTTTAGACTGATTTAGACTGGTTTAGACTGATTTTAGACAGATTTAGACTGGTTTAGGC